GGAGTCGAGACTTGGCAGCAGTGTGGACGATGTACCAGACTAGCTCCCAAAAAGGCTCGAGCTGAAAAGAACAAGTGGCAGCTTGTCACGAAGGGATACGTCTGGTCTTCTCGTCACTATTTGAAGGCTTCTCAGCGCTGTCAAAAGAGCAAAAATTTGAATTTTCGTGCGGTTTGTATTTTTTTGTGAGGCAAAGCTCGTAATCCCGGATGTGTGCCCGTGTCATCTCCCGGTATTGTACTACTCCCTGGCCATATCTCCTGGTCATGGCGGATTACTTTACGCGATGGGTCGAGGCATTCCCTTTGCGCGATATCACTGCTGTTTCGGTCGCTGCAGCTGTCGTTAATGGTTGGATCAGTCGGTTCGGTGCACCTGAACAGCTTCATTCAGATCAAGGGGCTCAATTCGAATCTCGGCTATTTGCGGATATCTGCCGTCTCCTTGGTATCCGGAAGACGCGAACCACGCCGTATCATCCTTCTGGCGATGGTCTGGTGGAGCGCGTCAACCGCACTCTTCTAGGTCTGCTGCGTGACCACATTACTCCAACCAGTACGGAGTGGGATGCAACGTTCTTTCTCGTCTTGCTGTCATATCGTGCTGCAGTGCACAAGTCCACTGGATTCAGTCCAGCGCGCCTTCTGTATGGTGCGGATGTCCGGTTACCAGCTGATATTGTGTTCAATTTACCTTTGCCACCTTCCACTGATATGCATACCTATGTCCGTAATCTCGACACTTCTCTGCGGAACATTCACGTTGAAGCCCGTCATAATGCTGATCTTGCTCATGCGTCTCAGGAACAGTTCTATAACTGTCGCGTTCATGGTGAGCCTTATGTTGTCGGTCAGCAAGTATATCTTCATGATCCAGTTATTCGTGCTGGCGAGCACCGTAAATTTCATCGTTTCTGGTCTGGTCCACATACTATTGTGCGTGTTCATGGTCCGACGCCATACACGTTGTTGCTGAAGGGAGTTGAACGTACTGTTCACTTCAATCGCTTGAAGCCAGTTACTTCCTCGTGTCCAGTTTCCTTACCGTCTTCTGTCCATGATCTCCCCAACCCAGTGAGTTTGTCAGCTAATAACTTTGTTCCTGTTGTGCCACATGATGCCGATGCCTCTGTTCCAAGTACGCCTCCGTTGTCGCAGCCTGTTGCCTTATCACCTCTACCTCCTCCTGTTGCTACTCCAGTTTTAGTGCGTCGATCAGGCCGGATCCGCACTGCTCCTGCGAGATTTGATGACTATGTTTTGTAGTTAGGTCATTATATATCCGTAATTATTATAAATTTAATTGTTTTTGCCCTGCTTGCCTATTATTCACGAGGTCGTGAATGGTGAGAGGAGGGGAATTGTGTAGTATAGGCCAATGATTACTTATTATTTCTTACATTTGTATTTCGTATTTTCTGCTCCTGTCCACGTGACGAATCTCTGGCCTTGTAAGCCGCGCGCATGCTCACGTGTTGCTTGCCTTTTCTCTCTCTTCTCCTTCATGACAAGTAACATTAGTTTTACTATCGATATGAACAGTGTGAGTGTCTGATGAAACCAGGGAATAGTCTTGTATTACTAGTAGGAAAAGGAATCCTACATACTCACGAAACCGGTGTGATTTCAACCGTGCGCACTGTATTGCACTGTAACTTTGCACTGGTTTACCACATTGCATCACGGTAAAAACGTCTTGATAGCTATGATCCTGACCTTTCCGTAGGTACGTGATTCATCAAAATCGGGTGACGCATCGCGGAGCAAAGCCTACGCACAAATGCGCGTCGTTCGTGTTTCTTTGTTCGTTTTTGCCTTTTGGTTGTCGGCTAGCTAGTTGTGAGTTCTCTTTGGTCAAAATTTCGCTTCTGCCTTCGTTTTCCGTGGACCCAGAACTCAGCGAAGCTTTAGTTGAGCTTGAGCGAGACTTTCATGGCATCGAAGTCGAAATTGCTTCTTCCAGCTCCTCCAGTGACAGCTCTGATGGCGAACTGTCGTCACCAGTGAGAGTTCAGGCTTTGTCCTCCAGCGATGAGGACGACGCTGACCTAGAGCACTACTTGGAGCTCGAGTTTGATACCAATGGTGCCGCTGCAAATTACTTTGACCAACCTTCTGCAACTGGAGACTTGGTTCCACAGGCGGCAGAGGCTGCAGCGCAGCCCGCGACTCACAGTTGTGGCTGCAGCAAAAAATGTTTATCAAAATTTGACTCAGCTGAGGTGGAACAAATGCAGCTGAACTTCGCCGAAATGGAGAAAAGCGAATTGGACCTCTTGATTATTGGCCTCTTGCAGTCGTGCAAGTACTCAGGGAGCACTCAGGGAGCACCACCTAAACGCAAGCACCAGTATTACAGATACTCGTTCCAGGGGGAAGAAATTTGTGCTGGTGCGTTTCGCTACCTCTACTCTATTGGTGTAAAGCAGTTAAAGAATATCAAGAAACACCTGGAAGACAACGGCCCTGTTCAGCGTATCCACGGAAACGTTGGTAAGAGGCCAAAGCATGCCTTCTTCTTCTCTACTGTGTCCAACGTGGTGAAATTTATGAAGTCGTACGCAGAGCAGTTTGGTATTCCGCATCCTGCACCACTGCATGGCCGTGCTAGGACACCACCGACATACCTGCCAGCGTCTTCAACAGTCGTCACCATACACAAGTCATATGTTGCGTCTTGTACCGTACGGCATCTGCAGTGCGAGCTGTGGGGTACCATAGTTTCCGTGCGATATGGAAGGATCGCCTGCCTCATGCCTCATGTCGAGATCATGTCGCCACGCATAGATGTGTGCTCTCACTGCGAGAGCCACCGGCGACGCATTCAAGAAACGCGGACAGATGCAGAGAAGCTGGCTTCGTGTGACGCGTTCAAGGAGCATGTTGCTGCTGCTCAAGCAGAACGAGACTTCTATAGGAAGGCAACCGTCGATGCCAAGGCAGAGCTAGACGCCACTGAAGAACTGCCAGCGCAGGGTCCCTGCAGCCGAGATCTCCACAATGTGCATTACACATTGGACTATGCACAGAATGTGGCACTGCCGCAGTCTGCACAGCAAGAAGGACCGCTTTACTTCAAGGCACCGCGGAAGGTGCACATCTTTGGTGTGAACAATGAGGCAGTTACACACCAGGTCAATTACCTGATTGACAAAGCCGACACCATCGGACAGGATGGCAAGACGAGCCATGGACCGAATTCGGTGGCGTCTATGATGCACCACTATTTTAGCTTTACGTAGTGCAGTAGCTGTTTTGTTGGATCTGACTGACACCTTACGCTTAGATTCTGTTCTGTTGGGAATGCAATATCTGTACGTATTGCACACTCATTCTTACTGTATCTTGTGTGTGTAGTGAATACCCTATCATCTTCCTCTTTTCATGCCAGTTGTGGATAGATCTACAGGCGCGTGCGCCGGTGCCGTTCAAGGGGGGTTCCGGGAGGCTCCCCTGTGAAAATTTTCAAAAAATGAAGCAAAATCAGCGAAAAAGGGGGTTCTGGGCACCCAGGAACCCATACGGGGCACGCGCCTGATCTACAGTCCATTTCAAAACTATAGACGCGCAGTGTTTTTGAAATATTTCAAATTTGGCTGGAACTTTTTGACAATAGTTTTCGGAATATTGCTCAGGTCCGCTCCACAATTACTCTCATATAGTTTCTAAACGATTGGATAACAGACGCTCAATTTGGAAAAAATTATGCACAAAGTGATCACAGATTTTATGTGGCACAGATGCTGGCATACCAGTTTTTGCCTAGGTACGCGTCTATAGTTTTGAAATGGACTGTACCATGTCGCAACATTTGTAGCCAAATACTGTGTTCTGGGTGGCAACAGTTTCATGTAATTGATGATCAAACTTTGCTTCGCGCTTATCGGAAAATGCGAAATATACCTTAGAATCGTGTTCACCGAAACTACCGTAACTTTGTGTGGAAAGGAGATACAGTCAAATCTGTCGTAAGCGACCGCCCCTTGGTGCAAGAAAAAGCGGTCGCTTACGGCAGATGGTCTCTTACGGCAGATGTATGGTAAATTCGGCATACCAGGTATATGCTTCCATGTACTCAAATCGACGAGAATAATGTGATTTTTAATATCATTTTATTGGATATTCAACGACGACCATACCCGTATAGTACGCGTATGCGACACGGCAGTAGATCGACACTGCCTAGCGCCTGGACTTGAGAGCTAGAGCTACAGCACAGCCTCATTACCATGATTACAGGCCAGGCGCCAGTCGATCGCACTTGCAAGACAGCGCATTTTCACACTTTGCAGTTGACAGCGCGCACTGGCAAGTACAGTTTCGCACCTTACTGAACCTGGGTCGCGGTCGCTTACAGCAGATTTAATTTGAATGCAGCCACCGTACATGAAATCGCGGTCGCTGGTCGCGCACAGCAGATGGTCGCTCTGGACAGATCAGTTTGTATGTGAAACCGTCGGTGCACGGAAAATCGGTCGCTAACGCTAGATGGTCGCCTACAGCAGAGGTCGCTAACGGCAGATTTGACTGTATTACACTTCTGTTTTTTGCACCGGTTTCTGCGTGAAACCAGCTATTAGAATAGCGCGAAACTCAATTTGGCTGAAAATGTCACTTGGTCCCTTTTCTCATCACAGGGCTAAGTCAATTATTGTACATGGCTACCGGTCACCATAGTAACCACATACCTACATAATAATATCAGGATGGGTGCGCATGCACAAGGAGTTAGTTCTTGTTCATGGAGTACTAGTTTGGAATTGAGATTTCCTGTCGCACCCTCACTTGTGCAAACTACCATGTAATATACTGAGTACTCAAATCTGTGGACAGCAACTGTACTATACTATACTATACTATACTATACTGAGTACATGTACTGACGTCAGAAGTTCTGATTTCGCTGCGACAAACCCAAAAACAGTGACGGAAACGTACCGGCTCTGGAGTGGGGGGGGGGGGGGGTACGGACTTTCCCACCACATACCTACATGCACATACCTGAGAGGGCGAATCCGTCGACGCTGCAGTCGTCCTCGCCTCGTACACTCTCCCCGAGCATGACAAGAGAAACGAGTCCGACGCCGGGTTGTACTCATACGACACGCTGGAGAATGCCGTGCGCTGCCGCTCGTGCAGCAGTTTCTCCTCGCGCGTCAGCGGTTCCCGCGGCAACAGGTCGCTGAACACGCTGTGCCACTCGACGCGGGGAAGACTGTCCACTGCTGCGTGCTGGCTGGAGCAATACGTGACGTCAACACCGTCACGGGATACCACGTCATCAACTCTGGACGGCCCCTCCGCCGCCCGTGAGGATGAGTGTGAGGTGTTGATTTCGGCGTATAGCAAAGTGGCCGGTCGTCTGCGAGCTGGATATCCGCGAAAGAACACCTTGCCGCCGTCGGGACTGAACACGAAACTGCAAGCCTTGGGATTAGGACAAGCAATTACTGCGTCCCGGTGTTGGGTGGTCACGTCACACACCATACTGCTCAGCACCTGCCAGTTCCGTCGCGGATTCGTTTCTGCAGCCATAAATACTATCTCATCCATTCTACGGACCGCCACGTACAAACTTTCAAAATAATAGCTATAGCAAAACTAGAACTACCTTCACGTGGACAAAGGCAAACAAACGACAAGGCCGTTCAAATCTCTGAACGAACTCTACGACTACGGACGGAAAATATCGAGAAGAAACTACAAGCTACAGCATACAGGACGAGCATTTTTGCTTTGCTAGCTGTCGCATTTGCTGGTAAAAAAATGCTAGCAATTTTCAAAACTGGAATTGGAAACTACAAAAACACTGCGTGGTACTAGACTGTGTGCACCACGTGGGTTGGGTGACGCGCCGCCCGCCGGCGCCCGACCGTAGGCGTGGGCACGCCATTTTCGTTCGTATGGCAACGCCAAAGTCATGCATGACGTAGTACTGACTCGAGCATTACATCATGATCATTCTGATAAACAAAACGAGAGCATTTCCTGGTTCAGAAACGTTTGGAATAGAAAGGTAAAAAGGCAAAACAGCAGTCTTTGTCTTTGCTGAGTTTGGACAAGCTGTTGTTTGAGTTGAAACGTTGGGGCAGTTATTGAAAGGCATAACCCTGTAGATTTGGTGACGATCACGCACAGAGTGTAGATATCTCGTCTGGAAGGTCCGTTTCAAAATGGTGTGAGTGTCGTGTTTCGTGGTCCCCCTGCTGTTGTGGGTCTGGACCAAGTACCTGCAGCCACTGTATGCTAAGTTCGTCACGGGCGAGAAGCCTGCAAGCAGCAAAGCAGAGCAGGATAGCGGAAAGGTAAGGAGCTAAATGGGAGATGTTCATTATAGCGGGTTGAATAGGAATTTAGAGAGAAATTATTCGACACTTCGTAACTTTATTGACTTTGGAAGAGTGAACTTTTCAAGTACAGTACAAAGCAATGGGCAAAGGCTGTCACTTTCGACTCTGAATTTCATCCACTCTTGCACCACTACATTGCAAAGCAGAAACTGGAAGGACTACTTTTTTTGTGTGCACATTGACAATCCCAGTCTGTGGAGTGAACTGAGTGCAAAGGTGAAACAGGCTGGTGCCAAGTACGGCACATTCATTACGCCAAAAAACTAGCCCACAGTTCGTGACGTCAAGTCGCGCCATGTTTCTTCTACCCTGCCTGGGTGCTCTTCAGCTTGCCTTTCCCTGTAGTGCTCTACTGGTGGGTCAGCCTCGTAGCCTAGTCCCACAGTTATTATTATTTTTTAAATCTTGATTAGGGCAATCCCCACAGGCCTAAGCCTTGCAGGCTAAGGCCTTTTTACAAGGTACCCTAGAGTTCCGTACTTTGCTGTAGCGTGATGCACGTCCTGGGTCCTTGGTTGCTTTTTTCCTGCCTCTGATCGCCGTGGGCCGCACTTTGTTATTGGCTTACGGTACTGCCGGGCGCCGAAGAACGACCAGGCTAGAATTCCACCAAGCACGGCATACCAATGTATACACGGTGACTCAACTGTGCATAGACTGTAGCACATGAAAATAAGAACGGTCTAGGCTACGAGGCTGACCACCTACTTTTGAAGTAGTTCTTCGGCGACCGACAGCACTGCAGGATTGCTTTGCTTGAAACTCTAGTTGCATCTGAAACATTGATTGTCATCTATGCAAAATAGATTGTATAAGGTGTTGTTTTTGTTGGCTGCTGTTGTTGTTTTTGGTTTCAGAGTTCTCCTGGAGAGCCCGCAGCAGAGAAATCAGATGAGTCAGCTCCACTCCAGGCAGCTGAGTCGGCTGAATCCTCGGATCTGCGAGAGCGCACCAAGGTCGAGGCAGGAGCGGATTAGCTGGCGACGTTGACGCTCGCTGCACGTGGCCGTCGATGCCAGCGTTGTTGCCGCCGTTGTTCGAGAGAAGCTAGCAGTCGTGAGATGCGCGCTGGACCGGCAAGCGATATACCCGTGACGGTCGCAGGCGAAAGATGGGCACGTCGGCCGATCAGCCTGCGGCTTGATATTTCCGTATCACCTTGCTGTGCACACGCGTATCTCGACTGTAAGCAACTCAAATTTTCTACTGAACGCATAACGCTGGACGAAGTGTTCCAGTATGTGTGTCCAGTACCAGTTTCTATTAATTTTTATACTGCACTTGCGCAGTGTACTTCTATTGAGTTTCCTGCATGAGATTATTGGCAAATGGCAATGCATGTGGTGATGTTGTGTTACTTACTAGTGATAGTAGTGCTCTAGTGCTTTATCTCATTCAGTGTATCTATCAAAATGACACTGAATACAGACATCCTTACGAAATAGTACGAAAGTTGAAGTGTTCGATGGACTTCTCGTGTGCTCTGGATGGCAGTCGCGAGCCAGTCGAGCGTCAAGTCAAGTCGGTGGAATAGTGCCAGCTCCGGTATGGGGAGCAAACCCTTTACAGATATCCTTGTCGAGATTATTCGCACCACATTGATCGGGTGTGCTGTGCCAGTGCCGGGGGGTGCGTCACGAGGGCTGGGAAAGTTTGCCTTTGCGTTGAGCTTGCGTGCATTATGCAAGTCAGCGGCAGATCCAGCGATCTCTACAGTTGGGGTTCCAGCATAGTCAAAACTGAATAGCTGATACATGTACATGAACACGCATAGGTATGGTTGCCAGTAGTACGTTTACGAAATTTAGGGGGTTCCTCCTGGATCTGCCCCTGAAAGTGTATGTAGACTCTCACTAAAGATGTGAGTCAGCGCTGACTTGCGACGACTTTCCATTTGGGCTGGGCATGCAAGTTGTAATGGATTGTTGGTGAGTTTGCGCTGCAGTGCCTTGATACTGGTGGGCTCGGAACATGTTCTACTTGCTCCGTCCCTTGGATTTTGAGCGGCTAACCGGAAGTCAGCAGTTGATTGCGACTCTGGACAAGTCTGAACTCTGTCTTTGTGCAGATCAGTCTGTGTGGGACACAGGAGGAGCAGCACAGATACCGTAAAGTCTTGTATAAAAGCCGCGGCTTCTATGACTTTCTTGGTGAAATATTGCAGGCTTCTATACAAGACAGGTATTTCTATGTATGTCAACACTAAAACCAGGCTTATGTGTGATTTGATGGGCCCAAAATTGCGGCTTCTATTCAAGGGCGGCTTTTATACAAGACTTTACGGTAGCTAAAAGCACTGCACTCACAATCTAATTTCTTGTATGGCTCCAGTCCACATGCCCTATTCCAATCTGAGTTCTAACAGTCCGAAGCATCCATGAGCATCAGGGAGTACTAAAAAAACGTTTTTTTAGTACTCCCTGATGAGCACTGGGCATACATGCACTGTGGCGGAGTATGAGAAACAATCTGATTGGAAACATTCTGTGGTCAATAGTAACTACATGTATTACAGGTTTGGTTTTTCCTTGCGAGCCTGTAACTATTGACACTACATGTATCCGATGATTCAGATCAGGTAACTATCACTGTGTATATGTATGTACATTGATCATGGCTACGAAGATAAACAGAGTAGAACTGACTTCGGATATAGCAATACATTGTACTGTGCTTCAGCTATACGAGTAGAGTACAGATTTTCATGGCGGCCTTGGAGGTGCGCTATATACTTTGTAATGCATGCGTACAAAGCCCAAGGCCTGTAACAAGAGTATATGGCCATAATGGACTCAATAATAAGTTGATTGCTGGAACTTGTAGCATGTGCTTAACGACTCCTGGTCAAAGTCAATCTAATCTAGACTTCGCCGACCAGACTCGGGAGAGAGTTTCACGTGTGCACCAGCACTCGCCAATCTACTGCATAGTGCACTGCTGCACAGTCTGCACCCTTGTGGTGGCCCACGGTCCCAAGGGTTCGGAGACGAGCAAGCCGGTAAAAAATTATCACCGGCTTTCTGTTCAGCCCGCGCAGTGGTTGCTCATCTCCTCTCTGTGAAAGTGACAGAACAGCGATGACGTTATCTTTGGATTTGGGAACCGTAGAAAAAGTTAGTGAAAGATAATGTTGAAACTGAAGGATGCGGCTTACACGCACATATGAACCGCACGCACCGTGCATGTTACAGTCTCCAGAGGAAGATTGGCTTTAAAGAATGATAAAAATAACTATTCTGATTAAAATGCCGATCATCTGTCGGAGTTTGAAGGGGAGGATTGAAAAAGTAGGGGCCCGAAAGCACGATAAAATAACTATTCTGATTGAAATGTCAATCATCTGTTGATTCGTACAGGATGGTGACCAAAGGGAAAGAGACACATTGGTAGGGAAATAATTGGGATAAAGCTTGGATTTGCTGTAAATGAGAGGGGGGGGGGGTGAAAACGGTTACACGGAAAATGTTATAGATATAGATATCAGTCTTTGATGGAAATGTGGCAGCACCTGATGGCTCCAGACAAACGGTGCGGGGTGATGACCTGTCGAGTAGGGGATGTTTTGAGGGGCCTTCCAGGATGACCATACAGCAGGAAGGATGTAGATTGAAGGCAGATATATCGGAAGACCAGGCGGAATAAAAACCAAGCAATGATACGAGGAGCAGGAAGAATAAGAAGAAGATGAGAATGAGATGAATACCGAAGTAGATTAGCCAAGTATTTAACGCTATTGAGTAAGAAATAAACAATAATGTAAGGAGTTGGATAGATCGATATGTTGCGTAGGAGAGACGGATGACTAGGGGAGTGTCTAGAAATGAGTAATAAGCATGAGGAGATGGAGAGGCGAGAAGATGAGAAGGAAGACAAAGAATGGAAACTCACAGTGTGTAAGGTCTTGCGGGAATCTCCTATTTTTGTAACGATTCCGGCAATAATTGCTACTGAAAGCGCCAGGTTCTCAGTGTTCGTGCTCGGTCGTCCGCATTGTTGAAGGGGTATCCACACTGTTCACACTGTCCACTCTGTTGTCGCCAACAAACCTGAGACTGGGGCCAGGGGGCGAATAGCAGCAAGACGACTGACAGACACCAGAGCGCGTGCAATTTCACCTGTGGGCATCAGGTGCATGCTGCTGGATAGAAGAGGGCTCTAAGGCCAGGGAGACCGGACAGATGAGTGCTACTGCCGCCATGACTGTTAACAGCGTTACCAATGATGGCGATGGCAATGTTTGCAACTGCGCGTTTATTTTAGCTATGAGAACAGCAGCATGTGATTCGTATTGTGACGAGATACCGTTCCCCAGGATGTGCCTGTGGCTACAGTTGATGACATGCTGGCAGTACGGGGCGAGTGCATTGCCATCATCAGCTCGGGATCTTCCAGATCTGCCTCGTTGACCGTGGGCAGCTCCTCCAAGGACACCTTTACCTTGAGATGCGCAGGAGTGTGGACGGAGGTGGCCAATTGCTTGCACGAGTGCAGGACAAGGGCCAAAAGGCACGAGAAAGATATGCCTGCCGCCAGGATGACGAGCGTGTGGGACGGCAGGCGAAGCACAAACGTGGGCCTGTTCACACGCTGCTGAATTTGGATGGGCTCACGTGGCCGGTCTCCCATCCATGGCGGCAGAGAAGACGTGAGCTTAGCCAGTGCGGACTGAACGTGGCCAGGAGAAGTGCTTGGTGATGCGCCGTGCGATATGGTAGTGGCCGGTGGTTTTCTCGCCATGGCACTGGTCGAAATGGGCTTGCCGTTGGCCAGTGTGAGCGGCAGCCTGGACGCTGCTTGCATTGTCGGCGGTATCGGGGGCGAACTGGTGGTGGGCCGTCTGGTGACGGCTGGCCTGGTGGGTGCCATGGTGATAGGCGTGGGCGGTGTCGACACAGCTGTGCGCTTTGCCGGGCTTGACGTACGCATGGCGTTCTTGGGCGGCTTGCGCTCGGTGGCGGCTGCTGCTGCTGCTGTGCTTTGCTTAGGTGCTGCTGTGGCATTTCCCGGCTTCAGATTAGTAACCGCAGGAGTACCAGACTTTGCCTTTGATGTCGCCGAGGCCGCCTTGTTAGAGCTAACGCTAGTAACGGCCGTCAGCCTGGAGCTGAGCAGGGCAGGTTTCACACGGTTTACGTCGGTGCTGCCTGCTGCTTTGCCGCGCGACGAGACTGTTTGAGTATTAGATTTCGCCGCTGGCTTGCGAGCCTCGGTGCCGTGCTCGAGTGCCATCTGTGTAGCCGTCGGTCTGCTCTTGGTCATAGCTTGGCTAGGGGATTTCCCTGTGCTACCAACTGGAATACAAGAAAAGCACAAAAACGCATGACACTACTGTCAGATCGGGCGCCGAAGAACACTTAGGCCCTCTGCAGACTACGTACATAGAACATCCAGTACAAAAATCACATAAAACCTAAAAGGCAACATTTTTCCACGCCTCCATTCAGACTACACATTTTACATGCAACATACATGCAACCTTCGACCCTACACAATTGCGCAATGGGGCCTGGGATGTGTGAAAGCAGCCGGCAGTCGTACAAAGTTTGTATATTTGTACGACTGCTGCCGGGTGTTAGCGGCCGTCGTGAGTTCCCTTCGGGAACGGACACGATAATTTACTCTGTTTTTTACGACTGCCTTGTGAAAGTATGATAAATGCGGGAAAGTTGCCTTGTACAAGGGTTCCCACCCTGCCCGAAAGGATTGGGCAGCTTTTTAGGCTTCCCGCCAGATTCTTGTTGTTGTCTTGGGAACTTCTATGTAAATGTAACTGATAGGCTGTTTTGTATCTAGTCTGAAAAGGGCCTAAGGCTGGAAAATGGCCCGGATTTTTAAAGAATAATTTAGGCTAGATTTACAGATTTTTAAAAGAACGTCTGGACGGTTTTCTACATGTTTTCCACGTGGTGTGATCACATGGTATGATCACATGGTGTGATCACATGGTATGATGCTCGCCATTGATAGGAACGAAACGACGAACATCTCATTTTGGAACAATGCCAGGCTGTGCACGAACTTAAAATGCATGCGGATGGCTTGGAAGCTGCAGCTGGCATGACGAATAACATTCCTTTCGCCCCCCCCCCCCCTCAGGACAGCTCTACAGCATTGGTTTCTGAATTATTTACATCAAGCCAACCATTCGTTCAAGTAGAAACATGTCACCCCCCCCAGCCCCACACACACACACACCATCCACCGTCAGATTGCATAGGAATCACATTTTGCCGCCAAAGTATTTTGTTTGTACAGGATTGAATTGCGAGGGGTACTAGTAAGCAGCAGCATTCAGCCTTCTCCAGAATAATCTGATTATCATCAACCACCACACCACACTGTGTCGCTCTCCGGCCGACCTCAACACGTTGCCACAGCGCACCATCGGCAAAACGACACTTCAGTTGGTACTCTGCTCCTTCAGACAGCAGCTGTTTCGATCATCAGAGGATCTCATCAGTGAAGGTTGATAATGTAGAATGGCTAACATAGTGAACTTTTATAAAAGGGTTAAAACCCTTTTATAGCAAAAAAGGGAAACGTAATGGCGCATCTTTTAGGCTTGAATGGACTCCGCATTGACTCTGCATATGCCATGTGGTCTACTGTAGTGGCACTGCTCTTCAGTTCTTCAGGCAAGGGACATGTTGGAGAGTGAGGAGTGCACACTACATGTAAGGTTCTACCCTCTTTTTTTGTACAGTCGTACCTTTTTAATCCAGCACTTTACAAACCAGCATTATGCTCGCATCTCTTCTAGTAATCAGAATAATCCTCTTCGTGCACACTGACTGCACCAGTAAATCAGATTCGATAATCCAGCACCCCCTCCCCCCCAATCCAGCAGAATTTCGTAGCACAAAATTAACGGTTCTGAATTTCAAAGGGACCACCGTATGTATGTACTCAGATGGTGAGCCAAGGAAAATATTAAATTGAAACAAGGAAACAAGGAAAACGGTGGGGCACAAGTTCTGTGTTTATGCGGCCGTCTGGTGCACGTCTGACTGTTCAAAAACCTGGTTTAGTTGGCGGACTCTAACGCATAACTTGTGCCCCACGGGTTTCCTTGGACCACAGTATAGTCATCGTTATCCCTATCCTCAAAATACCAAGGCAAGACCACACTGCTCACACTGGAACCGATCACTTGAAAGCAAGCGGCAACTGGCTTTGAAAACTTGGACTAGCACAAGCGAATACTACAGCACTGCTCAATGAAATCCAGTCGAGTTTCTCAAGTAAGCGCCGGGCGTTGCGCAGCCCTAGATTTGTGAACGCTAGGCTGCGAAAGGTGCACGGCGCCAACTTGACTCTCGCGACTGGATTTCATTGAGCAGCACTGTATTCGACGAGTGATACTGGGCTCTCCCAAAGGAAATTTCCACCAGGTGATGGTGGGGAGAGTTGTCGCTCGTCTCTCCTAACACAGGCGAGTGGAGCATGACAACGACAAGAAAGATAATATGCTCTTTGATGCCGATGGCAGAGATTCTCTTCTTCAAGACTATTACCAGGACCCGTAACGTACCTAACGTTGAAAAGTGTACGAATATTGGATTCTGTGACGCCTCATTCTGTCCAATGATTGCCTGCAGTTGACAGCGATACTTGGAACCAGGTCGGAGTGTGGCCAGAGTAATCTTGGTGTCAGGGGTATCCTGTGTTCAGAGACCAAGCAAAAGAGGCAGGCATAGATGTATGTGTGTGTGTGTGTGTAGAGAGAGACAGAGAGAGAGAGAGAGACGGAGAGGGAGAGAGAGAGAGACGGAGAGGGAGAGAGTGAGACAGAGAGAGAGAGAGAGAGAGAGAGAGAGAGAGAGAGAGAGAGAGAGAGAGACAGACAGAGAGAGAATGAAGGTGACAGACTCAGAATTATTCCCATGCCTGGATGTTCTTAGTTTGCGTTGTCCTCGCCGATCGATCAGGTGGCGACATGTACTGTAAAACCGGAAATTTCGGCGGAGACTTATGTTCGGTAACTTCGGTACAGGCAGTTTTACCTAAAATAAAATGCAACGAAAATATACGTACGTGCATGTCGACTGCAGTAAAGAAAATTTGTTTACCGATTTTTTTGCGCTACCGGGCCGTTGATTCTGGGAAATACCGAAAATATCACACCACCGAAAACTCCCGGTTTTACAGTCGCCTAAATCTGTCTGCACCAACAAGTTATATTATTGTAGTATTGCATAGCTGGACGCAATTGTGAGCTCGAAAAACCCCACCTTGTTTAGGTAGGAACCACCCATCATCTGTGATTTTGAAACACTGTGACAAACTCTGTGCATTGTGTCGTGGACACTTCACACTTCAGCTCGACATGAGATCACAAATGTTTTTCTCCTCGCGAACCAACGCAACTCAAGAAAACGCAAACATCTCCCCAAATAATTACAGCTAGCAAAGCAAAGCACAACAATTTCCCATGAGAGCACCCATGTTGTCCCCATGAGTTGTACGAGTGACATCACATTGACATCACAATGACATCACAATGACATCATGCCTGTGGTCAAAATGATGAGTAATTAATGCACTACTAACTTCGACTACTGTGTTGGGTCCAGTGCAGGTGATACGGAAGGACATGGCAGTCTTCTGTTCCTTGGGGTACTTGTCCCAGGTCAGTGTGTAACCAGCAGTGACGTGTCCGGACAGAACTTTCAAGCCAGTCGGTGCTGGGAGCCAGTCTGCACCAGTCATACAGTCACACACACACGAGAGAGAGAGAGAGAGAGAGAGAGAGAGAGAGAGAGAGAGAGAGAGAGAGAGAGAGAGAGAGAGAGAGAGAGAGAGAGAGAGAAAGAGAGAGAGAGAGAGAGAGAGAGAGAGAGAGAGAGAGAGATGGAAAGCAACCAACAAGTTGGACACCCAATGAGTTCGGAAATGTAGTTTTGGGAACTCCGATACAAACATTGCCAATGTTATCATTCTGTCGCAGCCTCCTGGGTTCATTTTCTTCAATGGAATGTATGGGAGTGAAGAAAACGAACAGCTGGGTTATCACAAGAGAGCGAGAGAGAGAGAGAGAGAGAGAGAGAGAGGGGGGGGGGGGGGGGGGGGGAAGGCATGAGCTGTAGTCACACATTCGAGACACAATTATACCTTGTTTATATTATAAATTACAATTATACCTTGCATCTTGCCCACATGAGCACATTTGTTGTCGGCTTTTTTTGTCAGGAAATAAATAATATGTACCTATTGGTACCTGACGGGGGAATGTATGTGCTATACAAATATAGCTAGTCTCCCAACTTACCCACAAGCTTGAGAATACTGGAAGAACTTGCACTGGTGACACACAGGACAAGAGTTGTGATAACAACAACGAGTGGAAGTGTAGTAGCGGTGGGCCTGGCAGTCATTGCGCACCCGCCGTTAGTCATCCTTGTATCCTGCCCTTTCATGGCCATGTGTGCACTGCAAGCAACAACACCAGGAACACATTGATATAAAACCATACCCAAATAATAGGTGCGCCTGCGAGTGTATGTTTGTATATGTGTGTGGGGGGGGGGGGGGGGGGAGGGTGCATGTGTGTGCGTGTGTATGTATGGTGATGGGGGTGGTGTGTGTGTGTGTGCATGCATGTGTATTCTCTGGGTACTGACTATTGAGCACTGACAAGTGTCCACGACCTCACGAGTATGCAACACTGCATGACGTGGGGTTTTAACCGTTTAGCATGTCACACTGCCCATATTATGTAGCAACAGACTGGGGTACCAGCTGGGCTATTGCGTCTTTTGATCTGCTACGTCTTCCAACATCTTAGTGAGTAATTCTTTGTTGCCATCTTCCATAGGTCCGTCAACTAGTGGTCAAATAGTAGTCTGATGAGTTCCCCGTCATCAACATGACTTGTCAGGAGTAATACTACTTGCTTTCGTGGAGTGTGGCTGGTGAACTGTTCGTGCTGTGGTCTGCAAGCGTCGTGTGGTCTCGTCGGCCGGTCAAATGAAAAACCTATCACTATCCTAGTGAGTGTTTCTTGGAGACTTTGGAAGAGCTTGTGTGTGGTAATTAGCGTACAGGCACTGGCTCTGAACCTGAGCTTGTGTGTGTGGTAACAGGGGCGTAGCAGCCGGTCCGGCCGGTCAGGCTTTGGCCGGACCACTTTTTCGCCCAGAAGTGCCCAGAATGCAGGATTATGCACCCTAATTTTAAAAATTTCCCGGGGGACACCCCCAGACCCCCTCCAACCGGACAACCTCCAACGGCAGTGCTACGCGCCTGGGTAACTAGCGTACAAGCACTGGCTCTGAACCTAACGTATTTTGTGAGAAATCGTTGAGATTTCAAAGCCAGTCAGCAGGAGTGTCAGTTGACGCCGTAATGAAGGGAACACGCTATGCATAGCACCCTGGACATAGCTCAGAGATCAAAGTTGCACACTCTTGGGGTCGCGTACTCTTGGTACTGAGTATAGGCTTTCAGTTTACGGTCCATTCACAAAAAGATGGGCCCAGGCTCTGGCGAGCTCCCGTATTAGGCGACTTTTCAAGATTTTATCGTACACAGTGCAATGCTGTGAAATTTGAAATTTGAAAAGGGTCCAAAAAGGGTACCTGAACTGGGGTTCGAACCGTACAATGCTCTGTTACAGGCAAGGTCAAACGGCCTGGATTTTGATGGGTTTTCCCAATTCAGTGCTCTTGGGGCAAAACCTGGCCGAAATCCTATTCTTGCTATGGCTTGCTTTTTGGAGAAATAGACTTCAGAAACATAATTGGAAGAGGATTCCATAGGGGATTGCAGAAAAAAAAACTCAACGTTTGACCCATTAATTTTATGACCAAAAGCTAGAAGTCCATCTTTTTCTGAATGGACTGTAGTGAGTGTCAGTGAGATGTCCAGTGGCAAGACAAATTTGGCAGAATTGGAATGCACTTGTCCATTATTTACGTATATAATAAATGTAGAGCCGAAGGATTTATTGCAATTACATACCAGTATAAAAACCGAGGTCCCCCGAGGTTTTTATAACTGGTATGTAATTGCAATAAATCCTGAGGCTACTACCGTAAAATCCCGCCAGAGCTCCCCGTCTCTCCCATCCGCCCCTCCCTGACATCTTGTCAGGGACGTGATTGATGGTATCCTCGTATGACTCTGTCGCAGTCTGCGATGCCGTACTGCACTGCTCGACCCCGTTGGAAATGTACGCAACAGTGCCCACCCTCCTGACCAGGGATCGCACAAACCCTGCGTTTTGTCGGGTCTGTACAACTCCTGGCTCTTGACCTTTGTTCGGTGTACGAGATGCACGAACAGTTTTCGTAGGGTGAGTACTTTTTCATGTAGCACTGAATGCAGCAAGTAGGACTCGCCCATCCGCCCCTCCCCACCTGAAGCGTCGAGGAGGTAGGGGCGCTCTGGCGGGATTTTACGGTACATTTATTATACATATGTTGACCTTCGCTTTCCCTAAAAAGGAGTATTTTATAAACAGTATATATTGGCTTTAGTGGTATTATTTTTATAAACAGTATTTATTGGCCCAAAAGCCAATAAATACTGTTTATAAAATACCACTAAGGGGTCGTCCGCAATTATCGAAAGTTTTTTCCAATCCGTAGTAGCTTCGAAAGTGGGTGGGTGGGTCAAGGCCAGTTACGGATTGAAAAACTTCCGAAATGACACGTGCGCGTGCCACGTGTACGTCTACGTGTAGCCCCTGTTTTCCACGCGCGGCTGCGCGCGAACTGTCTACTACTAAAGTCTTATAATATTTTTGTAGTTCTGGCAGTTTCTGCGCCCCCGCGCGCGCTTCCTTGGCTGCTCCTGGGCCGGGGATCATAAAGTTCGGCGCATTCGACGGCGAGTCGACACCTTCTATTTTTGAGTTTCACTGTCTCCTTCGTCCAGAGTACCGTCTTCCATGCACTCCTTTGAAGTCCTTCCGTCTAGCGCTGGCGCTGACGACTGTTATTGACTATGTCCAGACAGGCGACGTTGTTTGGAAAGGCGGTGAAGAAGCAGCCCTTTTTCAAAACCGCTGGTGACTCTGATTATTACAGAACAATAGGGCTTGAAAGTGATGACGTCAAAACGGCCAGGGAGTAGGAAGTTGACATCAGATTTCTATTTTTGGATCCACTAAGGTGTGACTTTGCTATTGCCTAAGTATGTGGGTGCATAGCAACCCACTCATGTCGCATGCAGGTGTGACTTTTATTTCGCCACCAGTTGTAACCCCGCCCCCAGTAGCCAAATCAGTCAGTTTCACTGGTTACATCACCTTGCTGAGAGTAAGACGGCTTGAAATGTGCTTGGATCCATACAAAAACTGGATCCAAGTGGATCCAATTTTTGAATTTTTGAAATTGTTGCTATGCTGTGACGTAGCACTTTCAAGCCCTATAAATTGCTTGTGGCAGTTGTCCAAGACGACGAACAAGGATGGACCAGCACTGATTGAGTTTGTTCCATATGTGTTGCGTTGCGTGTCCATCAATAATATTTTATTACGGACTGGGGGGGGGTGGGTGGGTGGGTGAGGAAAAATTTGAAGCTACTACGGATTGGAAAAAACTTTCGATAATTGCGGACGACCCCTAAGGCCAATAAATACTGTTTATAAAATACTCCTTTTTAGGGAAAAGTGCAGTGCTGCATGGAAAAGTACAGTGGTATTTATTGAGTCGAGCAAGTTTATTTGAATTTGATACTGTTGGTGGTGTGGTCACTAATGAGTGTGGGTATTTATCGAAGGTCAATATATTTCACAGTGTCACACGCACTCATCCATATTTGGACTGCAATAAGAGTAAAACCTGGATGGGGTTATGGGGTTATGCACTCTCGACTGTTATTTTGGACGCACTGCTTTCCTTTTCCTTTTCCTTTCCCCGACAACTGACCACGGTGTTTTGCAGAATAGTTCTCGGTGGCCACAATACATTATAAAGCTGTTTGATTGCGACCCCTTGACTACACGCCCGCCGTACTTTTAGAGATAACTGCTCACCTTGGATAGCATCGATCTGTACGAACCAACCCACCGAGAAAATCCTCCGAGTTGTCCCTGTGTACTCTACATTCAAAGCGGCATTGAAAGGTTGAGGGCAAACTTCATTCCACCAGCTAGCTTGTAAGTTTATTTTGGTGGAAAAACACACTGGTGTAAATAACTGGCGGCCTTGAAACAGGAAAGCTGCCTCCCATTTGGCCTCCACCTTCGAATTTCGGTGTTCAACTCGTGCTTTTTGAAAATACTCCCTGAAGACTGTGTTCGTGGCGGATGTTCTGTACAGTACGTTGTTGAGTTCATTGCCGCGCGTCTGTGGAGTTGTTTTTTTCGTTGAAAAGGTCAAAGTTCGAGACAAATGTTGACCTATAGTACTAGGTTCAGGACTGAGCACGTGTGGTTCATGTATCGTACTGCCCCTGCGGGAATTTGCGGAAAAAACTCTCGAAAACTTGGGCAAGAAATTGCGGCAGAAAACAACAAAAAATGCGACGAAAAGTGCGGAATGATGCAGAACTTGCCAGGAATTCGCGGAATTATTTACAGAAAATTGCGGATTTGGGCCAAATCACGAAATTTGTTGCATCGTTTATTATATCTAGCTACTCGGGAGTAGTCCGAGTCGTACTATGCAAATAACCTACAGGATCATGGAAAATACACAGAAGCCTTGCTTGGTAGTTTAACATGGTTTTTTTGGTTTTTTTCACATGCGGAGCACATCCAAAATGGATGTTTCCGTAGAGAGTTTTTTTTTGCTGCGGTTGGCAGAGCCCCGGTCTTGCGACCATTTGAACCGTATTGAGAAAACCCAGGTTCGGACCCTCGTTACTCTAGGGGTTGGTGGGATTCAGAAATTTTTCTTTTTTTGTGTTGTAGATGTCGTCGTGTTGCCGCCGCAGTATTGTTCACGTTGTCGCGTTGCTGCCGCTGCAGGGATCACGTCTGGAAAGGATTTGTGATTGTGATGTCTACAACACATAAAAAGAAAATGTTCTGGTTCAAATGGTCGCAAGACCGGGACTCTGCCAACCGGGTTATGGTTGTAGTCAGGAGCACTACCCGTCCTCGCCTTGTAACATGCTGTCAAAATCGAAAAATCGGATCATGGAAAGCACTGCGTGAAAAGTGCATAAAAAGTCCAAGGCAAGAGGGCATAGCCACAGAGGTCACGTGCTCTACTCTCTTCCGCGGACCCCCCCCCACCTCGGGCCCCGGAACTCCCTGGATCCGCCCCTGGTCCGACTCATGTAGGCGGTTTCAGTTGAGCTAACTAGTGTATCGTCATGCTACTGAGTACTGGCTACTGGCTGCTAGAAGTCCACCGGGCTGTGAGGTGGGTACACCGGCATTGTGCTCTGCACACTTTTGATTCCCACTATAAATAAAGTATACAACAACAACAACTGAAGATCGGTGAACATTGCTCTAGAAAATCATCGCAAATGATGATGATGAAATTGCAGAACAGCTATTGCGTAGTAACAAGCTACGTCCTTCTTAAAAATTTAGCAGCTGGCTGTAAGGGATGGAGGACGCACAAGCGCAAGTAACACGTAGTACTGCAGAAAGGAATGGAGAAGCTGAAAGCTCCCACGGTGGCATTGCCGGGGCATTGTTCAGCAGTAAAATAATACTGTGCCACTGGAAATCCGTCAGTTTACGCGCAGTAAAACAATACAACACTAGTACATGTACAGGAAATTAATTTTGTCCGTCTTTAATCCGGAACTTTAACCAGCACCCTTACTAAACCGGCATACCGTTCAATAGTCAGAATGTCCTCTTTACGCACACAGCAGCAGTAACTCGGATTTGTTAATACAGCAAGCTCCCAAATGCTGCAGAACTTCCGTGGCTCAAATGGTGCCGAATTATAAGCGGACCGCAGTACAGCGTAGAGAAATTCATATGCACACATTAAGTGTTGAATGCACCTTCTGTCTTGATGTGTATGAGCGTGTAGACACACAGACAGACAGACAGACACACACACTTACACATATACACACATTTACACTTTGACAAATTTACACACTTACTCACACTTACTCTCACACACACGCACAATCACACACGCACGCACGTACGTACGTACACACACACACACACACACACACACACGCACGCACACACCCACACGTACACACACACACACACACACACACACACACACACACACACACACACACATTCAGTGACTAAACACGCCTAGACGCCGGCGACTGTAGCATATTCAGCACCGGTGGTTTCATCGCCGCTGTCACCATCGGCTAATGTATTGGTTGAATGGTACAGTGGGTTCATGGCCGTCTCACTGCAGAACACACAGCACAACGCCATACACATCACACAAAGCAGCATAGCAATAAACGGCAAGTCCATGAAAGTCCGCTCTGATACAAAACCAATATTACAGTAAATATCGGATATAACGTGCCCCTTTGATTTTCGAAAATGTATCACTATATCCGGTGCATCACTATAGCCGATTTGCATGTTTGACCGACACATGGCACATGACTGCACATGAAATGATGCGTACACGCTGGAAAAAGCATGCTGAAAGTGCATGCATGCTCCGCGGACTGTGTACCGGTGCATGACACAGAGCAGTGCATGGCAGTGCAGTACGAGTACAGACTGTACATGTACTAGAACTAACTTCGATACATCATGTGGCATGGCTGCTTCTTCAGCGTGTTCTCCAAAAAAAGCCTGAGCTGGATCCGTGCTCACGTAGATCGTAGATCTACTCGGTGTCCAACGAGTTGCGTAGAGCCAGAAATAGACATGAGTGGCTGTGTACGTGAGTTGGCAACATCATCGTGAGAGGCAACACAGCCAGAAACGGACAAGAGCATGCAGAAAGATCACTCTTGATCATTATATGCGATATTTTCCTGTACATTTGATATGGTTTGCTTCCTGAAGGCCATCACAATAAGCGATATATCGGTATAGCCGGTAATAGTGTATATAGTGATATTTTAGCTGTATTTTTTCAGATTTGATTTTGATTTTGACGTGTTCTATCACTATAACCGGTATATCATTATATCCGGTCACTTTATAAACGATACTTACTGTACCACCATTGGTATCTTATGAATGAAAAGACAACATTCAACGTTGAGTGAGGAAGAAAGAGAGAAATAAAAGAGAGAAAGATAGATAGAGAGGTACAGATAAAGATAGATAGATAGATAGATAGAAGAGAGAGAGAGAGAGAGAGAGAGAGAGAGAGAGAGAGAGAGTAAGTTACATTTATAAAGACAGGTAAGTCTAACAAATGAGGACTGAGACCTCTACAACAGGGTTTTTACGCCTGAAAGCAGGTGCATGATTTAACAAGCAGGTTGTCAGTCTAGATTTTATGCGCAGATGGAGAAAAAGCGCAGAATTTTTGTAATGAGATGAAAAGCAGAAATAATAAGAAATAATAAGAAAAGATGAAATGAAAGCCTGCTCACAACCCCGCCCAGCCTTGCGAAAACTGGGTATG